ATGTTAGCTTCTCCCCCGTCTCTCCCTGTTTCTGGGTGTCGTCACTAAGCTTTGGAGCGTTCTAGCCAAGATGACCCTACGTGTAGACTCGCAGATCTTGGCGAAAGCACAAGCGATACACTGGGCACCTTGTGCAGAGATCAAGCAGTGACTCTGAAAGGTTTTGCGAAGGTTAAGGTCGTCGACTACCATGAACCCTCCGACAACTTCATCACAATAGCTCCAAAATCCAATGAGAACATGGGTTTCCATTATAGTGCAACTTACTCCCCGATTGGCCAAGATGGAAACATTCAGATTCTGTTCAGCGCCCAAGCATTCGATCAGAGCATAAATATTCCTCTTCACGACGACGACGATGTGGATGAAAACGCTGTCTTCTCGTCGGCTTCTCAAAAGCCCTCATCACCATGCGATTACTATCTCGGAGATTGGGAGTCGGTGCAGCATTCGAATCAAATGCAGACATACCTTACCTGTGGACCACATCTAGAGCATCTGCTTGAGCCTAAACGCCATTACCCTGGAATTACGGCTCCCTACTTTTACTTCGCCAAAGATGGAGGTACCTGTACACCAATGCACATCGAAGATGCGGGGCTTCCCTCTGTCAACATGGTCCGCTGGGGCTCCCCAAAGGCATGGTTGATCATTGAGCCTGGTTCATCAAGGAGGCTCGAAGAGTTTGCTGCTTCCAGGACGTTAGGCGGGAAAACGAGCGGTGGCCGACGACGTTCATATGGGCGCAAGACGTGTTCGCAGTTCATCCGGCATGCAAACATACTATTCTCACAGGAGACACTAGACGGCTGGGGCATCAAGTACAGCATTGTCGTCTGCAAACCTGGGGAGTTGATTGTCACCCTGCCGTACACCTATCATCAGGTGGTAAACCTCGGTATGAATTTAGCAGAGTCGACCAACGTATTGTGGCCGGGTACAGACCTTCGGTTGGGAAGCTACTCGTTCTGCAGTAAACGACGATGCGGCAACAGAGAATCATCAATAAAAGAGACGGATTTTGCGGTCCCGATTCAAGACGATCAGACCGATCTGTCAGGGACCGATGCACAAACAACTGCTAGAGCAAACCAAATCCAATAGAAGCATAGTAATAAGTGCGGAGACGGCAAAGACGAAGATGAAAACAACGACGATGATGAAGACAACGGGAGTAGCATCAGCGGTAGTAATAATAGGGATAAGAGTATAGTAGAAAGAATCGTTTTTGATATTACCAGTAGGGAGTGGTCCGCCCGGTTAGCTGAACATACTAAATCTCACCACCGACCTTTGCAATGCCTGTCATCTCCTGAAGCCTTTAGAATGAGGATACTAGCGGCGCTTGACGATCCTGACAAGATTAATGCCGGCGGTTAAATCCATTGAATTTGGTGTTCATCTCCCTCCCAGACCAATTATGCGGGGTGGTCTTCACTGCAAAAGGGCAAACCACAAGTCGTCTTTTCATAGGAAATTGTTCCCGTGACTCGCAGAAAGGGAAGAGACTATGTTTGTCAGACTTTAGCCCAAAGTCTTCTGAGAGCGAGTCTGCCTTGCACATGTCGCGTGATGAATGCCCCGTACGCCGCAGTGTGGGTACTCCCCAAGTATTCCCACCACTGAGAGGTGCGCGCATGTCCCCGTTATGGTGTACGCCCTAGGTACAAAATAACGAGACAGGGATCTCGCGCAAGTGACGTCTGTCAGGCCTATCAAGTCAAGCTTACATTCATCAGGCATCCAAAGTGTCCGTCACACAGCATTAGAACGGTGGCTGGTAGCGCGTCGTGCCGCACCGCGTTGTGTTTGGAACTCTCGCAAACTTCTTTGAAGATTGCTGGCTCAAACTTGCGCGGGATTGTTCTCTGGAAAATCCCGCACACTAGTTAATATCATCATGGCGCAGACGCACTACCGTTACCGCCGAAGTGCGATCGGCTCAGACGCATTTCCTCGTCGCGGGGGCAAGCGAGAAGAATCGCCGCCCAAAAGGCGGGGTTCCGCCAAGATTGGCACCACAACAAAGCAGATCTCAAAGAAAAGACGTGTCAAAACCGCCACCATCAGCTCAAATCCAACCGAGCCCAAGGACGAAGGTATGATCATCAACCCAAGCGCCAGTCCTTACAGGTTGTAACCGTGAATTCTCATAGAGTACGACGATGACGACAGGATAATCGGTCATACGTCAACCGGCAACGGCCATTCTGTGAGCCTCATCACAGAACGAGCTACCGATCAATCGCGCAGAAATGTGCCCGAAGTGATCATTCAACAAGCGATACCCTCAAAAGTATATGCGTATTGGGGCGCTTTGGGGAAGTCCCGCGAGGAGACGATTGGGACTGATCACTTCAATGTGTTTGCAATTCTTGACCACGACTCTCAAAGCAAGCGCCTGAGAGTGCAATGGGTAGGATACTCGGACTCGGTTCAGGACACAAGTTGGGAAACAGTCCCTAAGATACGACGTCTTGATCCAGCTCTTTTCAAGGACTATCTCGTCGCTCGGGGACTGACAGGCAGTCTCCAGCAGAGACGCAAAACGATAGGGAGGCCTCAGGCCTCGAAGCCCAGGGCCCAAAAAGGAGGAGAGGAGCATCCGATCAACCGAACAGGTATCCGCGACGATGCAAGATATAAGGTGGCGTTGGAGCTAATTGGAATATCTGGCCGAGATTTGCGTCGTCTGACCAAGGTCATCCTCGATTTTGACATGGACGAGCGCATTACGCATCGATCCCTCATGCCCAAGGATGGCAGCCGTGGCAGAGGTTTACTCATTCAGCAAGAATAAAACGAGGAATTGAGCTGAAAACGTCAACGCAGCGATCAGGTTAAGGGCTAGGCTCCCATGATCGAAGTCAAACAGTTTGGAGTCCGCGCGTGAAAGAAGACTGTCGACGATTCATAGATCTTTGCCACAATGCCGAATAGAGTTGCTCATAGAGCGGGTTTGGGAGAAAATGTATTTTCACTCAACACGTCTGTTGTCACCATCATGTGTTCAAATTTTCGCCTCTCGGTAGTGGAATGAATGTGGGAACATGGTTGTCATACCGAACACCTTAATTGCGAGATTGCAAAGTTCGAGGCAAGGAAGCATTTGCCTCGGCGTGAATTGCTTGCTTCAGGCCTAAAACATCGGTCCAGGTTCGTCAATGTCATCTTGTCAATCGGTGTTCAGACGAGCTTCTCATGTTTCCGCGTTATTTCCGCGACGAAAAATGCGAGCCTGATTTAGGTCCTGACCCTAGTGGTTGTGAGTTGTTTGTTGCATGTTTGTCGACTGGGGTTGAAATGAGACGACATGGGCAGTTTCCCGAGGCACTGCACCCCAGTCCTCCAAGCACGGTCGGCATGTGCACACTGTGACACTACGCTGCTTGGTTCATTTCTCGTGTCATCATCTGATGCAATGATACCGATAGGTCTGAGTTCGTGTTGGTGCTCTAGTTATCCTTGTCCGATACGCCGCAACCCACTCGTGTTGTTAGACTGGGGCGAGTCACCCGCAAGCGGAGGAGGCTCGACTTTCCACGTTAGTCTCCCCACACAATGCCCTTGTCTTGTCTGTCTGGCTCTGATCTGCAATTGGCTGCCGTACGGTGTCGCCCAGAAGGAGGCCGTCTTGGCTCATCCCGGAGACCAGCCATCCCTTCTCAGTTCCGATCCAACGCCGACCGCTTGCTTTCATACAGCGTTGGTTACCCCTTGCGGCTGTCGTCTAAATCTGTTGGCGCCAAAAGACCCTGCACCCAAGCAAGGTTAGCAGGGCGGCAAATAAACACCTTGCCGGGGAGGCTTTGAGAGCCTCGGCAGCTTCATTACAAAACATTGGGAGCGACTCCAACGATAAGTGGGAGAACCTCCAACTTTTATTTGGCATTGCCTTCATTCCCGCTGTCGGGCTCATAAGCGCGCAAACATAGTCTTCGATGTTCCCTCTTACTCAAGTTTAGGTACGATATTCCAACGTATACATGCGACTCTTTCACTCACATGAATCACACAGTCCTTTCGGGTGGCGTCACGGAGCCTGCGTTTGCACCGGCCAACAATTACTTGGGTTGACGATGGTTCCAAACTTATCGAGCAGCCCACGGCTTTCGGCAATTACACCTGAAGATGGTGTTCAAAGGGAGGAATTACAAACTCCACTGTCAGACGTGCCCGACAATGAGCCACCCAATAGCTCTCCTGCCCATCTCACAACGTGTTTTTCTCAAACACCAACCATACCCACTTGCTGGGAAGTTTCAACTGTTGTGATCAAAGGACCCCCACGAGACCCCCGACTAAGACGGAAGAAGCTGTCTGCGTTTGGGAGATCCGATTACCGATACGTCCGCACACTCGTGAAAGCCTTGGAAGTCGACGAGCAAAAGGGCTCGCATTCGAGGAAGACGATTTGAGATTTCTGAGAGAGGTCAGGTCCAGAATTGAGCGAGACTTGAAGTTTGAAAGGATGGTTCAACAGACCAAGAGAGAGGTGAGGCAAGCAATGCGAAAGGCAAAGCTGGAGAAGGAAGCCTCGGCTCAGACAAATTCGACTGCGTTGACACGATAGCACGGAGTGTAGTACTTTGGACTTCAGTGACAGGGTCTCTGTAGGATTGTAGGGCTAGGCTTCCAAGGCAGGATGATAGTCCCGAGTGGGGAATGAGCATTATCGTGACAACCTCGTCTACCTTCAAGGAAGTCACAACACAGAAGAGGTTCGCCAAGCCAAGTCTATAGTTGCAATCGTCGGGTCTTGAATCATCGTGAAATTCAACACTTCTATGACTGGTAGGCCTTTTCCATTCGGATTTACTGGAACATCTGGCTCGTGCCTCACGAAGGGTATCATTACGCCCCTTCCCAAACGTGCAGTCCCCCTTTGTATTGCCCGCCTGAGGGCACTTAAGTACTTGCGATTCCACACAAGGCAACGGCAGCCACAGCCTAGCCCTCAAGATCCTCTCACTGTCTCCTGTTTGCCAACACCAGCAACTGGTCTGGTGGTGTAGTGGTTATCACGTCAGTCTCACACACTGAAGGTCCCCGGTTCAATCCCGGGTCGGATCAACTTTTTGTTTTGTGGGCTATCCTTCCGTTTGACTGTAATTGATTTCTGGGTCCTATCACTCACCAAGGCTTTGCAGTACTTTTGGATAGATTTTGAGAGGCCAAACATCGCTTTTGAGACATTGGCTGCACTTTATTGCTGATGAATGCGCTCCCTGCTGCACCGCCATCTAGCCGTTGAATGTTCTTGCCGATGGATAGCAGTTTCTCCTTTCTTCCCGTCGCCATCACCGGCGCAGTCCCGGCAGACGGTCACGCTGAGTCCGAGAACATTGTTCTCGTAAACAGACAATTGGGGCGATCCTAGACTTGATTTCTTTTAGTCAGCCGGACCGGTTGAGATTTTCTGTCCTTATCGAAAGCAAGTCTGGGTTAGAAGACATCGCCTGCGAATTTCGGCAAAGTCAGCTGCGAGAGGATAACGGAGTGGTTGGTATGCAAATGATTGCTTGTCTTTGTGATTCACTAACTATAGGGGGTTACCCCAAGGAAATGCAGCCCCGAGGGCTTTGGCCAGACAGCGATGAAACTGCATAATGGATCACGTCACATCGGGATCCTTGACTCGCACGTCATCTTCATCAGGTAAGGCATGCAGAGACCGCTGGGGAGGGGTGGAACAGATTACTTTCTTGTGATATATTCGACGTCTTGTACGGGTGGCTAAATCCCATCCGTGTTTCACGTCAATGCTCTGAAAGGCGCTCGTCGCGCCCAGAAGCAATGCTTGTTAACCCATCCCTCATTATCCTTGTTGTATATCCTCGGTCTTGCCAAATTCCAGGCCCTTTATGCCCATGACGGTGCTTGCTTGTCTCCGTCGCCCTTCGCCCCGCACAATCTGATGGAAGCCAGCGGGAGCCGTCGCACCTTTACTCGACAAGAATTGGCAGCTCGGTGGTCGACGTAGAAATGGAGTAGCCCATGAAAAGGTCCTTCATGATCTCGAACGCCGTGGCATACTTGTCGCTGTCGATGAAACCGCCTTGAATATCGATGACGGTATGTGCAGTGTCGCCGTGCCAGACAGTCTCAACGGTGACGGAAGAGTTGGGAAAGAGGTGCCGAAGGTCTTGGACAGCGAGTCTGGATTGTCTCTTGACGTCGCCGTCGGTGTTGAGGACGTGGAAACCGGCGGTGTGGTAGATGATTCTTGGCTGCAGTCTGGCTGTCTGTCGTGTCAGTCGACTGCAAAGAATGAGAAATTTGTGGGGGGAGAGCATACTGTAAGGCATCATGATGGTGATGCTAATCCTACGATTGCTTGCAGTGACGTATTTTCCAGGGCCGAATGGCGAGATTTATTCGTGATGGACCGGGAGATTGGAGGTGTTGTTGGCGGGGAGCATGTTTCTGCGTCGCCCGCCGACTGCCACGGATGGAACGCAGGTGCACCTTCTAGGTGAGTGACTGTTTTGCGTGCTCATCGATCGCGGTGCAGTCGCGTCCAAATTCACCAGGCAGGCACAGCTGAAATGCTGCACTCATGGCGCCTTCCTCCGATTTGTTGCCCCACCGCCGTGGCCGACCCGCACTGGCGTCCCGGCTCGGCCGCCGCAGATGTGGGCCCTGCATCGGGACGCCACCCGGAAGGCAGCCTAGGATTTCACGAAGGGTATGGACTCATCTGGGAATGCGATGCTTGTCAATGGCCAGGCACCGGAGGGCACAAGTCGGATTAATGGTCAAAGTGATGACTTCTACATTGCTTGAAGTGAGCAACTAAGGACTCCCCCCTCAAAAGTTGTCATCAGTTGTAGTGTTGTGTCCGGTCTCAGAATTCGGGGTTCTGCGGGACCACCGGTCGGCATGGAATTTTACATTTGACCAGGACTAGTGACTCTGGGTGCAACATTGCTAAATACGGCTGTGGAGCGAAAGAAAAGCTTAATGTGAATCAGACACGATATCACGTGATGTCGACCTCCAAAAAGGCAATGCACTTCCCTTGTTTTCAATCTGCGGTGGCTCATTCGGGAGGGATCCCCAACCAACAAACAAACAAATAGTCACCTCCACTCCATCCCGTCAACCGCCAATCTCGGAACAACCCCCGTAGATGAGTTAATCCGACGGCCTGTTCCCGGACGGGCTCCCGTCTTCCCCGGGGCACCGCTTGGGCACCTCCAGTGCTGTGCCTTAGACCACCACTGAACTGTCCCCACTGCAGTGTGATGGGCTCCAGTGTCCATCCCGCCCTCGCCTCGTCGCGGTGTGCCAGCTGAATCCACCCTCACTGAGCCACCCACTCACTCACTCCACGTCACTCGCTCGCTCACCCACCCGCCCGTCCACCGCCCTCGACGTCGCATCTCATCAATCGCCGCCGCCGCACAACTCCATCGACAACCTTAATTGAGTTCGCGCGCGTGCGCGCACCATTGCGTCGCGATGAACCTCACCGAGGCGCAGGCCGAAAAAGTCCTATCAACGTGGCGCATCTCCCGCCTCGAGGACATCCTCGGCCCCGAGCTGTCGCCGCGCTCGTGGAGCAACAACCTGCGCAAACACCTGTGCATGCTCTGCCGCCTCGTCAACCTCGAGCAAGCCCGCATCCTGCTGTCAAACGAAGTCACGGCCCGTCTGGCCAATCGCACCCGCAATAGGGGCATCCGTCGCGATCACTTGAGTGATGTTGATGTCATGCGCGTTCTTGATAGACAGGTCCGTTCCGAAGACACGCCAAACTCTCACTGCTCCGCTTCAACTTCTCCCGTTTCCGAGTGAACTGTCCAACGACAACCGTCATTGACATGCTGCACAGGAAGCGCAAATACGAGGGCATTCCGACGTCTACAGCCAGTACTCACCCTCGCCGGCGGCGAACCAGGCAATGAGGCGTCTGGACAGGGTGTCGGAAACCCCCGACTACACCCGCCCCTATCCACCCGGACCGAGTCCGGACCTCTCCGCCGATGCCTCATCTTACCACCCAAGTACGGCATCATCCCCCGCCTCAACCTCCGCCTCGACCTCCATCACTACCGCCCCGTCTTCCAACCCACGCACAGGGCCTTCATTACAATGGTCCTCCACCGCCCTCCAACTCCTGGCGCGCAAAGCCGCGGTCGGCAGCCGGAGTGACTACTATGACGCCGGCCCGTCAACATTCGACGATGGAGATCGTCGGATGAGTCTAGGGGTGCGTCGCCGGGACCAAACATCTCAGAATCACCGCTGACACTTTTCCAGCCAAGGGATGAAGATGGTACTCCCGCCCGCTCATCGCCAATACACGGCCTGCCATCACAAACGCCGGCCTGGGCCTTGCCCCAACACTCCCGTCAATCACAAAATCCACATCAACCGCAACCATCACGGCAGTCCCAGCTTTCACATCAACGGGAATACTCGCGTCAACCGCAATACTCACAGGGACCGTCATCATCTGCCGGTCAACGTCACAGCAGCCCGGCAAGCGAGATTGTAGTCCAGATTCCAGAAACGAAAACTGGCACACCGGTCAGAGCGACCAACCATCGAGAGACGAACCGTCGAGACACCAACCTCATGGCCGCGCCGCCGCCAAGAGCCCGGTCTCCCACGACAGCAAGGACCTCTGGCAACTCGGTCGCCCACGCCAGAGCAGAGGAATCGCCACGGTCTAGGCCCACCAGGACCACCGACGACCCAGAACCAAACACCAGGGCCGGGGCATCACCACGGCAAAGGCCACTCCCAACACCGTCACTCAAGGCCGATACCTCGGGAATTCGCGCCATGACCGAACCGCCCCAAAGAACGCAGACCACCGCTACTACTACCACCACCACCACATCATCCTCATCATCCTGGAACAATTTCCGCCCCGAATCCCACGTTCCCGCGTCGGCCCCGCAAAGGCCATGGCCGGGGACTACATCAAGAACAAACAACCCACCAGAACACCGCACCAGGCCCCCGGACCCGCCGCGGAGGAGCGAGAGCAGCACGACCCCCATGACCGACGACACAGAAGGCATCACGGTAGTAGAGCGCCACAAGAGGAAACGGGAGAGCATGATGGCCGACCTCGAGGGCGATATCGAGAAGCTGGGCTACAGGGTCGACATACAGCGGACAACGGTCAAGCTCCGCCAGCACGAGTATGCTCAGGAGCAACGACACCTGGAGGCCGGCCGCGCCAAACTCGAGAGTCTCTCATCGGGGGACGCCGTCGCCGCCCAGATGGAGCAATTTCAGGGTTTCCTCGCAGGCCTTGACGATCTCGTTGCCAGATACCCCGCCGTACTTCACGCGCACGACGACCACAGCGCCAACGACATGGGTCGAGCCCTGGCATCGCCGTCTCAGCCGCCGGAGGAGACAGACATGGGTCTTCAACCCGGCATGCTCTTCGACGCCCTGAAGAGGGCCGTCAGGGTCAAGATGGGCTCGGCAGCACATCAAACAGAACGGCTACAGGATACCAGAAGGGTGGGTGAAAGAGAGCTCAGGGTGGCCCAGGCCGCCGTGGACGAGACGTTGGCAACACTGGAGCGTGCAAGGGAGGACCTTTCCAAGCTCGAGGATGACCTCCACTTCTTGTCAATTGAAAGGGAGCGTTTGAGCGACAGGGTTGGTTCTTGATGGCACACGAACCAACAGATGAAGCATTTCATGAGGCATCATGTTACCAGTAATGAAGTTCCGCAATCGATACCATTTGTTCAGCAGTTTTAGGTTAAGCGGTCACTTCCCGTGTTTCGGGACGGTCATATTGGGGGTGTAGCACGACAGGGCCAGATGCCAAAGTAAATGCTGCTTTTGAAGATCTCATTTTTCAGGCAATCACCAGCGGCAGCAAGGACAAGAAAGGGTACGGACACAAAACGCTTCATTTGAAATATACCAATAGACAATGACGCAAGGAGTCGCTGAGACCAAACATTCATCCAACCCCGAGCATCGTTACCGTCGCTGTTTTTGATGCATTCAACGAGCACCAGCAGTAGCGCAGGATCAACACATCGCCGCAGATATGAAGACTCTCATCTGTAGATGAACTCATATCGTCCTGCAACTGGACTTATACCATTCCTTCCGTCTTTTGAACAGCCTTCGCTGACTTTTCCCTCCTTTTGTGGCGCGTGTCTCATCCCTATCATCGTCCTGGGCTGATTGGGAATTGATGCCGGTTTCTCTTGGCATTAGGAGGTTCTCGGTTGGGATTGGTTCTTTTGTTTTGCTGAATAGTTTGAGAAAGGTCTTGAGTTTGGATGGTTTGGGATCAACGCTCGGGACTTTCGCAGAAATAAAGTTGGAACGGATGGAAGCTTCTGCAGAAATGTTGTCAGAAACGCTGGCTGTAAGTCAAAGGTGAGAAACAAACTGACCATCAGCCTCTTTCACGTGTCCTTTCAGGACCGCCAAGATTCTGCGCTACAGATTCTTGCGCTTCTCGACATCCGCGGGTTCGTTTGGGGGATGTACATCATTGGTAGTTTCCACCTTAGGCTGTGTGGCACCCGAAGTGTTGGTGTTGCCAGGCTTCTGCTTCTTTTCACTGTCGCTTGCATCTTTCGGTAAAGAAGACTCGGGAAGAGAAGGCTTCTTGCTTGCATTGGGGTCAGTAATCTTCGTCTCGCTGGATGATGCGTCTGAACCCTGGGAATGCGAAAGGGGAGAGGCTGGAGTAATGGCATCGACGTCATCACCCGCAGAAGGCAGACGGGGAGGAGCTGGGATGATGGCATCGACGTCGTCATCCATAGACGGTGGATGGGGAGTTATGGTCCTGATCCAGTTGTCAATCCGGGTGCCCCAGGCGTAGAGGTCGCGGAGTAGGGGGTCCTCTTGCACATTGAGACGGCGAATACATTGGGTGCCGGGAACGTTGGCTATTGTCGGCTCAAGAGAGCCTGACTTTGGGGGTCTGTTGGTGTCAGGTACAGACCTCATTGACCCTTGAGAGCCCGACCTAGGATGGATATCGTTGAGAACTTTAGGCCTCGTCGACTTCCGAGAGCCCAATCTGGGAGCACTGTTGTTAGTAGGTGCGGATCTCGTCGACTTCTGAGAACCCGAGGTGGGATATTTGTTGTTGAACAGTTCGAGTGCTGTCGGCTCCCCAGAGCTCGAGCTGGGAGCTCCGTTGTCGGAAGAAACGCAGCGCATATTGGGAGAAATGGGGTGGTATGGATGGAGTGGTTGTGTCGAGGAAGTAATCCGACCGTAGTTCGGTCTCAGTGAAGTACGAATGGAGTTGCGAAAACGGCTTTGATACGTATGCAATGCGGAATGGGATGGATTATGTTTGCGTCCGATGTTGATATTGCAGTGATGATGTCGGAGGAAAAAGGCCGGAGGAGGGGGGGAGAGTCGAGACAGGGACGTGTCATGGGAAATGTGGCAGACTCGTCGGGTCAATTGGCTGAGGTAGGCGCAGTTGTTTCGTGCTTGCTGTTGATGTGAAGGAGGCAAGTTTGAGGCTGGGCTGCTTCCAAACTGACTTGAGAAAGAACGACAGGCTGGAGCATGCAGTGGCAGTGACGCCTGCGCGTAAAGCTCGAGAGAGCGTTTAAATTTCTAATAAGGCAGGCAAGAATAACTAAGGTAACGTATCGTGGCCACCGCAAGTGCTCCTCGAAAGCCATCGCCCATTTTGGCCTTCCTGAAGCTGCCTTGGCACCACGTTTCTTCCTTTCCAATTCTAGCAAACAGGAAACCCCGGTTGGCAAACCTTCCAGCCGTCTGCGGAATTCTGCGAACGTGACAAGTCAAGAGCCATGCTCATTCAGGGCCATGATTTCGCGCTCGACCTTCGTCACTGGCTGTTTCGGAAGAAGCCTGAACACCCAAGGAGCCGCGATGGCAAGCAAGGCCCCCAGTCCGCAGGTGGCAGTCAAAGTCGAGAACCCGACCAAGTGCTGTGGCGCACCCGTGCTGGGCCACAGATAGCTCCCGTAGATGATGGCAAGGTGTCCAAACGAGTTGACCATCGCGATCGCCACCGACCTCTTCTGGTCCGGAAACGGAATCGACTCGCTCGTCCAGTTGAGCATCAGCGGCAGACCCGTGTACAGCCCCGCCACGAGCAGACACATCATGACGTATTTGGCGATGGCGGATTTGACGACTGCCGAAACGAGGCAAGCGACGACCGCGAGTCCAAACAGGCCGACACTGTGCCATCGACGGTCCTGGGTTTTGTCTGAGGTCCACGACAACGCTAGCTGGCACACCGCACCCGTGACCCAGATCGGAACCGTCATCCACTGAGCCGTTACATTGGTGTAGCCCATCGCCTTGAGGATGGTCGGGACAAAGTACGAGATGGACATGCCGATAATGATGATGCTGTATGACACGAGGAAGAACCACGTCTTGCCATCGCATACCACCGACTTGAACGCTTCCCATGAGGTCATCCGGCGAGTCGTGGCGTGGACGCTCAGTTGCCGGTCGACTAGAATCCGGATCCTGGCGAGGCGACGCTCTTCCGACGAGAAGTATCGCGCATTTTGAGGATAGTCGGGGAGAATAAAATAGAGCCCGAACCCGCAAGCGACGGTGAGAACTCCTTCGATGATGAGAAGCCAGCGCCATCCAGGGATTCCGCGCGTTCCTTCGAGACCTTTGATGATGGCGCCAGCCATGATACCACCAAGGGCTGGGGCAATGCAGCCAGACGTGTAGAAGATACAGAACCGTTTGCCTGTGGTCTTGTAAGCAATGGCTTCCAATTTGTCTCGGAGAACGCACCGATCTCTTTCTTCGTGTACCAGCAGGTCAGGAGAAAGATGGCACCTGGGAACAGACCAGCCTCAATGCAACCCAAGAAGAAACGACCGGCTAAAAAGCCGTTGTAACTCTTTGTCTGCGATAGACCAATAACGACACAACCCCAGACCCAGACAATGGTGGGAAGGTAGAGAGAAGGCCGACATTTGTTCATGATCATGTTTGAAGGGACCTCGCAGAGAAAGTACCCTACAAAGAAAAGGTAGACCAGCAGGGAGTAGTCTGCAACGAAGCGTCAGTTTGCCGCAAGATTCTCAAGCATGCAAATAACCCACCATTATCGGCCATTTGAAGGTCATCGCTCATACCGGCAGCATTCGCATTGGCCTCAAAATCATGTCAGCATCTCTCCATAATGAACCATGACTGCACGGGATGCCTTCTTACAATGTTCCCCCGATCGAGGTAGGCTAGCACGTACATCCACCAAAGGCATGGAAGCAGCACGAAGTCTATCTTCCGGACGAGACGCTTCTCCTCTGCGGTATCAGGCACGTGATTCTGTAGCGCCACGGCCAGTTCCTCATCTTCGTCGAGTTCGTCATCGGGCTTGATTACATCTCCGGCCGTAAACCCTTTGGGCGGATCTGCCCGCGGAGATGGCGGCATCGTATCCTTGACATCGGGGGCCTTGGTGCTGTCGGTCATACTCAGGCTCAAAGATGACACGTAGAAGGCTTTTGTATCCTAATACCGAGCAAATGTTGTTGGGAAATTTCCAGCAGCTAGGAACTTGCCGGGCTACATTGGAGGGTTCGTTCATCTAAAGAGGTTCACAGCCGGCAACAACAACCTCAATTCACTCAAGTCATTCGGGTTTCCTTAACCGGCGATTTCATGAAGACCTGGTCGCTTGGCGACTTGGCAAGATAAGTCGATTGGGCTAGATGGTTTAGATTCCCTGGGATTGGGGACGAAAGTGGATTTGCCAAGGTGATGGATGAATGTCTTCCTTGGGGATGTCCAGAATGCGGGGATTTTGCTGCCCCGCGTGTGACCTCCACCAAGGGTTGTATGGTTCAGATAGTCTAGGCTGGGCAAAGATATCGGCGTTGGTTGCCGAAGGAAGAGCTGAAAACTTCCTCCTATGGCATTGCAATGGATATGGGAGCACAAACCATCTGCGGTTTTCTTAATTTGAAACGAGGCATTAACCCAACGTCACGCGAGATGAACCTTTGCCATAAACCTGTTCACATGGCCGTCATTGCTGTGCATTGAAGTCGCTGAGTCCTATCTCCCTTTCGATGCATATTACGCTAGTCTTTTCCTAAGACCGTCTCCTTGGTTGCGAAGCTGCATACCGTCCTGTAACCGCTGGTGTAGACCACCATTTCCCCAATCTTTTGGGCGTAAATTACACAGGCGAGAAGGTATGCCTACCGCCAGGGGTTTCCAAGTGTTTCCGTGATTCTCGAGATCAGACTCAGGCCTCTCGTGACCAAGCAGAGCCCTACAAATATCCGCCAGACAAGACCATCCTTCGTGTTTGCAAGCCTAAACCCAGAGCAGTCCACTGTCATGCTAGCTGTTGAAAATTGTAGTCAAAGGCTTCACCAGTCTTCTATGGAGCCTTCCGCCTCCACTTCGAAAACCTTGAGTGATGGGAACAAAGTCTTGACTGTTCGAGCAGCCACGTCCGTCGCCTCGTGGTCAGGAAGATATGTGTCGAACAGCGTATTCCGTACACGAAGGACCCGGAGACTTTTCTGAGTTTTCATCGTAACGTCTTTAAGCTCGAAAACATCAGGAATGTGCACGGCGAAACCGAGATAAGTCTTCTGCAAATTCGTCTGAAGGCGCGCAATCCCCTCGATAAGTCCATGGGTGTCGACAACACTTTCGAGATTCCAGCTGAAGTAATCCAGCTTGCCGAGGTGACGAATCAAGTCAAGAATATCAGATTGCTCAACTTCCCGGTCGAAAAGAGGGTGTAGGTTGGGTTGTCTCGTGCTGGTCAGAGAAAGACTCTCCAAGTCCCGAAGCTTCGCGAGTTGGGAGCAACTGGTGGGAGGGAAATTAACAGTGTCGCCTAAATCTATTTTCAGGCTAGTCAGGTCAGTCAGCCGTGAGATTTCCTGAATGACAGTGTGGTGGCTGATGCGAATGTCAAGGTGCCGAAGTGCTTCAAAACCGGCCGCGCCGCTAGCAACCGACGGCCCGAGAAGCATCAATCTAGGAAGCTGCTCCGTTTTGAGTTCGAATTTCTCAAGGGAGGGGCATTTTCGGAAATCCTGAACCAGGCTTTCAGGAGGCCTGCCGCTGCCAAATCGCACCAAAGCGTGCTCCAAGTTTGGCCATGAGATGGCGTTTTTAGGCTTGAGGTCGAGAGAGGAACCCAAGGCGAAGTCGATATCAAGCCGTTTCAGATGGCTGAAGTTGCAAACCTGCCCGATGAAAGTTTCAGGGACCCGCTGGGAGGATAACATCTCCAAGTCGAGAATTCTGTAGAGCTGGGCGAAGTGGCGAAGGAGATCCAAAGCAGCTGCGTCGCACCGAGTGACATTAACATTCTTCAGGGATCGAAGCTTGGGGAAGCTAAGAGCCAACACTCTTGGCAAAGTCTCTGAGGATATCTGTCTAACGCGGAGAGTTCTAACGTGGTTGGCATACGTTTGTCTTCTGCCGTTGCGAGACGGCACCCGCATGAGTGCAGACAGCTCGGCTTCTTTCCATCTCACTTCAATAGCGAGATCGAAACATCTGTTGTTGAGCTGGGCTGAGAGAACCAGTCTCCTCTTTGGTAGGTGTTGCAGGATTGCAATTTGCATTTCGGTTGGCATGCCCGAGAAAGCATCCCATAAGTTGCGGTTGGGGGCTTGCGACGACATTGCGATTTCGGATAAATGGGATCGGTGAGGATGAATGGAGAGATACTTGGTGACCTGTTGTGATGGGTTGCGTCGAGAGAAATGTTTTAGGAGTGAAGTTCGAATGGCGAGAGAACGTTGACGTGAGGTGAGGGTAGGTCAGTGGAGGTGAGGCTGGTGGTTGACTTCACATGCTGGCTGAGGCAGGACGAGTGCAAGAGTGTTTGCCCCAAAGCTGAGCAGCTCCTTCCATACATATCGGGCTATCTCCCTGGGTAACGACACTTGTGGCTCCAGCTGCAGCAGCGACTTCGTGCTCCGTCATCTGAACTTTCCATTCCAAACAAAAGCTCCTTCGTTCGTTTGAGGTGTCGTCAGCAAAGTCAGGACTGCGGATCAGGCAGGAAGGGGTGTGGTGGGCAGCCCATCCACACCAGCTTTTACGGAAGCCGCCCGCCTGCCCTTCTGGCGGACTGGCTAGTGATAACACCACGATTTGGAAGGTCAGACTCCCTGCCCTCGTCCTGACGCAGTGCTGGCCATCCCATTGATGGCTTCCATCTTCCGCGGCACTCATCAACCAGAACAAAGGGCGAATAGTTCAGTGGTAGAATGTCCGCTTCGCATGATACATCTACCTTGCTTGCGGAGGGTCCTGGGTTCAAACCCCAGTTCGTCCATTATTTTTATGCTTTTTTTTCCAACCCCCGCCTTCTTTTTTCTTTTTGGCTCCTTTCGTTTTATGTAGCATACCAGACCTCACACCTGATTTTCTACCTTGGGATAATCGCCCTGTATCTGTATCTCAGCCCTACTAAGTTGAATGCAATGGGACCATCGTCTTCTGGGCGTGCTGCACAGCCTCAAATTCTCATTGCCTTCGATTACGAACTATCTTACGAACTCCGGCTTTCAGCTTCCACAGCCTGTCACGATGGTCAACCTAGCACCCTGGACAATGGCTTCTTGGTTCCAATTTTTTTTCGTGCAGTGTCATTTTCATTCCCATCCAAAGTGTGCGATAACCAGATCAGGATGTACACGTGACGGAAGATCTGTCGTCCTTCGTTGTACACTCATGCGTCTCGCTGAGCCTTTTCGAGTCGGTATCCAGCTCCTTCCAGATGCTGTTATCAGAAACAGACAGGTTCGACCCCGAAGAGAGTCCGCAATCCCCCGCCAACAACCCCGACTGCTTCCACATAGACCACCCCAAGTTAGGCCCACACGCTCAGACTTGAACAAACCACTCTGGTTGTCGTAGACGTGGGTATAAAGTGGATTCTTCATTGAGCCCAGCCCTTTCTCCATGTCTGAAAACACGACATGAACTGAACTGATCATACCCGTCCTCGGTAAATCTGCCAGACTCAAAGTTCCTGGGTGTGTTATTTTGGCCTGCGGATAGGCGTGTACATCTAGCCTGACGTTCTGAAGGATTTCTCCTTTCAAGTTCCGTCAGTGACTCAAGGGTTTGGCTCGACTGGCAACGATCTCCGTTGCAAATTCGCTGGCCTGTTTGAAAAGTTCAGGGATGCAGCCCTTAGGAAACTGGGTATCCGTCTAATCGGATTGACTCAAGAAAGTAAAACTTAATCTTGCCAAGAATCTCAATCCCTTCCAACAGTCCCTCTTCAACCAATTAATTATGGAAGAGTGTGAGCATCTTGGGCTCCGGGATGGATTTCCAGATGATCATGCCTGTACAAAACGCCATATTCAGACCTTCGATCAAGCTGTTACCGCAAAGCCAAGGTGAGTGCTGCAAAAGGCCTCTGCAATCAGTGGTGGAAGCTTGCGAGGCGAAGTCACAGGCTTCTGTGAGCTTGTTGGGGTAAGCCACTGGGAGAGCTCTGATTCCAGATCTTTGATCATTTCATTCGTGAAATTGTAATCGTCGAGCCCCTGGCTAGCTTGATGCTTTTTCCGAAGAAGCTGCTTCAGCGCACCTGCCCCTTGTAATTATGTATCCTGGACGATGGCTAGCTTTGTCGCCATACACAAACGCTCTGATTTCCTCGGTCCAATTGTAAAAGAACGCGGGGGCTCCAACACATGGCCTTTGAGATGGTGCATAGACCAACCACAAGAGACTGTGAAGGAGTCGACAATGCATTGCAGCTGGAACACATGGTGTGGAAGAATCTTCCTCTCATGCGGGGTCCACGACTTATTCATGACGAGGCCAGTGAGAAAGCTTGCAAAGTTTAGTCTAATAAGACTTTTCTGCTATCCATCAACACCGCTAGGAGACCAATCAAGATCTTCCAAAGCCAGCTGGCCGTCTATGGACACTCGAATTTCAAAGGCTGGAAGCGCATAGAAGTTTACTAGATCATACAGCCACTCGATCGTGTGTTGACGGCGCCACGCTAATCTTTGGGCTTTTGTGGCTTGTTGTAGATCCAATCTCGGTTCCCAATCACGGATCCCCATTTGCATCGCCTTGGTGGGCTTCCCGTTCCGAGTTTGACGGTAGTCGGCGATGAAATCTAACAAGTCATAGAATGCATGAACCATAGACTGCTCGGCCATGTCCATCCAGCCTGACACTCTTCCCCAATACGCTTTGTTGGGACCATAGAGAGTGACCACCAGAAAGACTGCATACCAGTTGCATCCTCAAGAGCGGGTGTTTTCCTTCGGTTCAGCCCGGAAAGTGCGGAGTAAGTTTGCTTACCCGTCACGGTTGGGGAACTCGGCGAAAATAGCCAGTTGGGCTTGCTGGATCATGGAAACCGCCATGTTCGATTGCGCTGCTGCGACGACGCTATTGAACCCCTCGTAGGCGACCTCTTGCCAGATGTCCTGTATGTACGTTCTCAGTGAAGACCACTCCTGAGCCAGAGCGTGTGTAGCCATGGAGCAGCTTCCGAAGGAATCAATATCGCAGTCAGTAAGGGACACGCGGTTGAAAGGGCCAGTCTTGAGGGCTCTCGAGACGTTGTGTTTCTTTCCCTTCTTTCCCTTCGCCGACTTTCTCATCCTTTTGCATTTCTTCCGAGCCTGCCTCTGGGCAGGGACATGCATTGACGACCCCTCTTGTGGCTCATGGTCTCATGCCGAACCATTTGAATGAGACGATAGAGCTGAGAACATATTGCCGAACATGGTCTCGAGGTTTTGGACTCCTTCGAGAGGCTCGTCGTCCTCGAGGCTTTGACAGCGCTCCCGATTTTGGCCTCTCAGAACATTGCAAACTATGGAAAGGGCATAGATGAAAATCTTGTGGCACGCGTTGCTTCTCTCGAGGACAGGATCCAGCTGAGACGTCTGAAGAGAATGGTACTGTTCGTAGAATGAAGTCCTGATTCGGATGACGGACTTCAGTAACCCAAAGATGATGTTTGGAGTAGGCTGCCCGAAGTGCGCGATGCGACGCGCCATTGCCAACCTCGTTGAGATTGTGACGTGCCCGGTCGTCGTCGGCTGGAGCGGGTTTCCATCATTGTCGGCGACAGAGGGATCACGCCATTCGACGCGCTGATCACCCAGTACACAAGGAATCGAGTGTCTCATTGGTATCTGATATGCGCGTTCTCATTCATCATGGTCATGAACGGGCGCTAACTTGGTCATCGGAAGCGTTGAATGGCACCGAGTTCGCGTCGAGCAGATCTTGGGCACCAGAAGATATCAGTCTCTAAGCGAAGACTGAATGTTGGCAGGATGGAAAACAACTCACTGGTAGCTGAGAATTGCTGTAGTAAACCGAGGTCAGCAAACAGTCAGCTGGCCAGTTTTCGAGAAGTTAAATGCTGCGATTTTGACTGTGTACAGGATATCCAAGACGTTTTCCGTGTGGAGTGGAGTGGGAGATTCCGAAACTCAACAAACGGTGACCAAAGCGTTTGTTCCGGGGCTGGAAGCTGACTGGGTATTGTGGCAAAAAGACAAAATGTCAGAGAACTGGCGACAATGACGGCAAGTTTGGGCGCAAACAGGACTGAAATGGCCAGGCTGGCGACTTTGGTTTCTTTTCATTGTTGGCTGGGTGCAAAAGGATGTGCCTGGGGTCTCAGTTCAATGGTCAGCAAAACCATAGACATTTCGGTCTACCGCTGGCACCATGAAGAGCAAGAAGAACCGAGCAAGAAGAACCTCAAACCTCAATTTTGTTGTCCTTCAGATTCAATTCAGACTCTGAGCAAGACGGAATGTTGCAAGAACCATTGGTTGCAGCAATTAAATTTGTCTTTCATAATAACTCTTCGTTCCAATTTGCATTCGTCCAATTTATATTTACTAGGTGATTAAATGCTGTAAATAACTACTATATAAATCTAGCTGTCTTTTTTACAGCTTCATTCGAAATAGAATAAGCACTACATCTCGGCAAGACCTCCAATATCATCAGCTATTCCCAGGTCTCTGGTCTGGCCATTCTCGCCGTAGCGTGCATGGATGATCCACAAGTCAACAAGTGGACACCCACAATGGAATTGATCATCTTATACGGTCGATTGGCCCAGTGGTTTAAGGCATCTGCTTTACAAGCGTATTCCGCAGAGGATCGCAGGTTCGATCCCTGCATCGATCACGTTTTGATTTTTGCACCTTTCCTTAACTTCAGAGAGCATAAGTCAAATGTCAATAACCTCACATTTTGCAGTGTGCATGGCCATTAGCTGTTTTACACGGGCGATTAAGGTGCAGTTGAGTAGCATGCTCTGCTATGTTAGGACTTTGAATTATGGATTGCATGGTCTTAGCTAGGCTGCCAGGCGACTCACGAAAAGTGCGGCCAACTGGAAGGCACCAGCAGCCTTTCACCAGTGAGAAGTTGGTCTGGAAACAGCAGGTACGCCCTAGGCTGCGCAAATCTCGTGCCTTCCCTTTCATTCACGTTTGCCCTCGAGCTGCCACACAGCCCACCAACCTCTCGACCGCCCATCAACAACCGAGTCAACCCACAACAAAATTCGTCTTCACCTCCACATCTCAACCGACACCAACGAGCTCTGCCAACTACAACACCACCAAATCCAAGTGTCGACGTCCGGTATTACCCAAAACCTCCGACAACTATCGAGATGGAACCCAAGCAGGAGAGCGCCCGTGATGGCAACGAGCAGCCGCCTCCTCCCGGCCCGTCTGGCGCCAACGGTCTGTCGGCCTCTTTTACCTCCTTTCTTCCAAGCACCCCACGACATAGACCTACCTTGATTGCCCTCTGTCAGTAACAGTTGCTAATTCAACTCCCGTCCCACAGACGTTCCTCCCCACGCTCCCGTTCCCCAGGCCCCTGCCCCCGAGGATGCGGCTCCTCATGGTGCTGCTGAGACTCCCAACAACGCGGCCATAAACGTAAAGATTGTCGACACTACTGGTCACACTATCCTGTTCAAGATTAAACGGGACACTCGGATGCAGAAAGTCATGGCAGCGTTCTGTGAGAGACAAGGAAAGGACCCCAAGTCCGTTAGATTCATCTTCGACGGCACTCGACTGGTGGAGGACGACACCCCCCGCAGCCTTGACCTTGAGGAGGACGACGTCATCGAGGCCCAGCAGGAGCAGACTGGAGGCGCCATGTACTGACCGAGCCTAAGAACACCTCCGGGATCGCGGTTGGATGCAGAGCCGGGACTGCCGGGAAAGTTTGAGATGGTATTCAACCGCGCCTTCCTAGCTTGGGGACTGGAGATGGATAGGGTCGACCTGATAGAGATGTTATGTTGAAGGGTCTTTTCTACCAGACTGCTTTACGTACTTGCACTTCTCGTAGCTGGAAGAAAATCAAGAACGGCATAATCTCATCAATGAAAACGAAAACGGTGCGTCCCTTCCTTTTCTACGTACAAAGCCTTGCTGCCTGTTTTCATTTACCTTTCACTGGCATGGTCCGTCATCGAAGTTTTGAATGCTTTGTCCCCGCATTTTGAATTCATGTCCTCCAAATTCTGTGATGTGCCCTCCGCTGTCTTGTCATTTTCGCCCGGCAACACCGCCCGAAGTCAATCATCGACAGCACTTTCTTCGCGACGGTGAGTAGACACGCGTCAACGTCGGATACATATTCACTTTTGCAGTCCCTTTTCAATGCTCATGATACCCACAGGCGAGGACTACCGTCTCCTCGTCGAGCGAGGGTCTCAAGAAGACGCCTCGCTCTCCCATCATCCGCACCCAGCCATTAACCTCTCTTCGTCATGCTCTGCCTTCCACGCAACGATATCTGACTCTTCGATCATGACCTAACACAGATAAAAGATCCCAAAATAATAAGAAGACGACCGCAGGCCCCTCGATCACTCCAGTGTATCCAACAACAAGCGCAGGTTGTCACCGACAAAGTGACGGAGAGCCACTTGCCTCCCACACACTGCTATCATGCAGACCTTCCCCCGATATCATGGCATGTCCGTCATCATTCCTTTCAGGACAGACACAATGAATGCGGCCGAAAGATATGGGGTTTATGGAAACCGAGCCGAAAATACAGAATCAACTTGGGCAACGACTACAACACGAGCCCGCCGGGGAGAATTGAACCCAGGAGACCATCAAAATGAACAAGTCAATATAAAGAAAGTGGCGCCCCCGGACAACGCCACTATGCGACAAGCATCATTGCAATATGCTTGTTCGTTACACTATCCAAGCCAGCGATGACTGTGCATACTACGCCTCTAGTAATGGCCATTTTAGACTTAGCTGGGCGGCAATGGCAGAATGCCGACTGGCAAGCGAACCAATTCTGGGAACAGCCCTTTGAAGAGCCGCGCATGGATGTCACAGACATTGAAAGAAGGCGCGTCAACGTTCGCCCGTCGCCACTTTACATGCATCCCAAGTCTGGAAGGAACCGTTTTCAAGGCATACTGCGGCAGATCCCTGCGCGAAGGGCCATCACTCAACTTTCACCTCAGACGTTTGATGCCGATGATTTTGTGGATTTGAAAGATCCTTAAATCTACAGACGGACACGACTTCCCGGATATTTGCGCGTATGATGATGGTGCTTCACTCAGCTTTATGCGATTTGCAGTGAAGGGGTTTCCAACGTCGCTGACCGAGAGCTGGGCAGACGGAAAAGCGGCCAGATCGACAGTCACTCGAGAGTTCCCAGATTTTACAACGGCGCGAAGACAAAAAACAATCATTGTCGGAGTAGACTTCAATTTCAATGACTACACTGAGTGACGAATACATGTGACAAAAACACCCGTTCAAGCTGACGAATCTTGAGGATTATCAATGCCCAAGGAATAAGTCCAAGTGCTTCGCGTACAGCTCTGGGACCTGGAACAGGTGACCATGACCAGCATCGGGGTAAATGATGAGCTGCGCGTTTGGAAGGTTCTGCTGGAGAGAAAAGCTGTTTGGCGTAGGCGACATAATGTCATTGTGGCCATTGGTGACTAGAGTAGGCGCCTTGATGTCCTTGAGACGGTCGAAGTTGCTCGAGTTGAGACTGAACGAGAAGATCGCCGTCAGCTGGGATCGAGCGCCAGGGCCAACAAGAAACCCTTTTCGCTCTTCTCCTGTTACTTGACGCTCGTGAATACGGTTCCACCACTGACGACCGATCGCCAAGCTGGAATCCGATGGGAAAAAGAAGAGGCGCAGCATGTCCTCCAACGTAGGAGGCTCGTCATTGTTTGCTCCCGCGCTTTCCAGTACCTCTTTGGGAGGCAGTACTACGCCCTCGCCAATGGCAGATTGGGTGCCGGCTAGAACCAACTTTCGCACCAGGTGAGGATAGTCCCAAGCCAGGATCTGGGCTACGCCGCCTCCCATCGAAAACCCAATTACGTCGGCCTTCTCGACGCCAATGGCAACCACGAAGCCGGCCGCAATCGCAGCCATGGCAGCTGTAGACTCGGGGACTTGTCCATCACTATGGCCGATACCGAAGCTGTCGTAGACGATGACCTCTCGCTTCTTCGCAATGGCGTTGAACAGTAGGGCGTCAAGTGTGTCCATCGACCCGCGAAGGTGGTTGATGTACAATAATGGAACCTGGGACTGCTTTCCGAAGCGTCTGAAAGCGACTCTTATTCCGTTGACGGTAACAAACTGTGTCTCGGCGATCTGAAGAGTGGACATTGCGGATGATGGAAAAAAGAATTGGAGTTTTGACTCAATGGGCTGATTGTTGGTGGGGGAAATATATATTATGGCCTGTCAACTCGGGATGCAGATTAGGAGAATAATTTGCTGTTCAAGGAAATTCTGACCTTATTATATACGCAATCACGATGGGAGGCGCAACTTAATCTTGGCCCAGAAACAACATCTGGGCCTTTCAGTTGTCCCGACGGCATGACTTCAGCCCACTCCAGCTCCAGCTCAATTCGATCGAAGCCGTCCTGTATGCTACCAGATGTCAGACTGAACATCGTCGATGATTCGGGGTCTGATCTCTCAAGCCATGATGACAAAGCTTGATTATGATGCTTTTGGCTTCAGGGGTGGCCGCACCTCGGCAATGCGTGCGGCAGAGGTGTAATCAGTAATCATTTGGCAACCACCACGAATGAAAATAAACATTAGGTGCGCAATCTCTACCTCATTTAATTCAAATATCTCAACCTTCATGAAATTTTAGGTTTGAGTCGAAAATTAGAGGCGGGACGATGATTTACCCGGTGGCGATCAAATGCCTTGGATTGACAAACTTCTTCTGACCCGGGCTTAGTCGATGAAATTCCCAATAGAAGTGAGTTCCGAAAGGTTGGTGTCTTTGCCTTGAGTGATTCCTATTTTTCTATTTAATTACGAGTGAATTCTCCTCAATTCTTAGTCTTGTTTCATCATACTTCCTTCATCGGTCACACTGAAATCGAAGACATTGACTGGGCCACGATAGTCTTTGCTCAAGAATTACCCATGTACAAAACCCCTAAAATCATGAAGGCTTACCATTTCTCAACCCCTTCAAAGGGTCTCGAACGTTGCGACGTTCCTGTGCCGACTCTACAGAACAACCAAGTCTTGGTCCAAGTGAAGGCATGCGGCATATGCCACACCGACTGCAATATCGTTTCCGGTATCGATACCACGTTTTTCTGGAAACGCCCCATCATTCTCGGACACGAGATCGCTGGACTTGTCGTGTCTTGCGGAGCTGATATCACCAAGTTCAAAGTTGGTGACGCTGTCGTTTCAGTCATCACACCAAAACATCCTGTTGAACTTGGAGATGTAGTCGACAGCCCCGGAATAGGTCGGGACGGTGGGTTCGCCGAGTACGTAGTGCTCTCTGAAGACCGAACCTTGCCGATCCCGGATGGCGTATCGTTTGCCCAAGCAGCGGTGGCTACCGATGCTGTAGCGACGGCATACCATGCAGTCGTTGCTGAGGGCCAGATTTCCCCAGAATCCAAGGTTGCCGTCATAGGTTTGGGCGGTCTGGGCCTCTCGGCGGTCCAGATTGCGGCTGGCTTGGGAGCTCGTGTTTTCTGCGTCGACCTAGACCGCCGCAAGTTTCCAGCGGCAGCACTTGCGGGGGCTTATTCTTCGGGAACGACCTTTGACAGCTTCCCCGGAGTTCGATTTGATGTTGTGCTTGACTTCGCTGGTGCGGGGTCTTCCACTTCTGCGGCGGCCAAAGCAGTCAAACTTGGAGGGAAAGTGATCCTTGTTGGCCTTGCTTCGAAGCAAGCAGTGCTCGACACGCACTTGTTCGTTGCCTTGGGCGTCAAGCTCATTGGATCTGCCGGGTCTTCGCTGAAAGAGGTGGAGAAATCTCTCGAACTTGTTGCTAATAATAAAGTTCAGCCAGCTCTCGAAGAGGTTCCATTTGAAAGGCTAGCGGAGGGGGTGGATCGGCTGCTGGAACGCAACGTCGTCGGACGGCTTTATGCCGATCCCTCACAGAACTCTTGACATTGTAATATTGCTTCATCTTGGAACTCAGCTAGCACATAAACAAGATATTCAATCTCTGAAAGTAAACCTCAGACTATTGCCAGTCCGCTGAGCTTCACAACGAATGCATTTAGTCATATGGGGATAACATATTAGTCAACGAACAGTTACTTTAGAATCCTAAGATAAACATGCAATCAGGCTTAGCCTTCAAGGCCCAGAGCATATACCGATCCTTTCTGTCGCCGTTGGTGGTCGACGAAGTCGACGCCGTAGGTTTGGTAAATGCTCCCGTGAATCAGGTCGATGGCGCCACGCTTAGCTTTACCACAACATATTAATGTCGCTTCCAGTGCCATCCATCTCGCCCAGGGTAGCGTCAATTACAGATATGGCACGACCGAAGAATACGCAAGGCCCTGCTCTGTTGTTGATGAACTCCGAGCACCGCTCGATTGATGCATCCAGTCGTCGTATGAGGCATGGATCAACTTGTATGCAAACTTTCAAGGCTTCTCGCGCCGTTCTGTGGGCATAGAACTCGTTCGCCAATTGGTCGCTCCTGATGCCGGGCAGAGCGGTCGTCTGCTCGCATAGAGCTTTCAGAAGCGACTTCACCTGTATCAGCTCCATCTTGATAGTGTCAACGCTTGCATGGGATTGAATCCAATCGTCCATTGATATCCTCTTTGCAGTCGGATCCAGCACCGGGCATAGCACCTTTCGCTAAAGGGTGTGGTTCTTGTTGCTGTCGACTCCAAGACGATCGTTTCCAGTCATGATGTTCAACGCATTGACAATCACCGCTATTCCGCTGTCTTCTTCGGCGGCCTGCAGGGGACAATGACAGCTGTGAATCGTGGGGACGGGATCGTGCATCGCCAGCGTAGTGATGAGCAGAAGGATGAAGGCTCGAACTTGGCCATCAATACCGGTCGGGGATAGGGAGTCGTAAACGTGGACAACGTCGTTGGGTCGATCGAACCTCAGTAGCACCCAGTGCTGTTTGTCGGCAAGATGGATAGGAGCAATGATGGAGCATCTTCCAGAAGATGCCATCTGTTCTTGTACGTCTCTTGGAATCGGCTAGTGGTTCTGGATTCCGCTAGAGACTGCGGGGTCTAAGATGATATACTGAAATGGTTGTAGGCCAGGCGGCTGAGAGCTATGAAATATAGCAGCGCGTATACGCCTAAAGGCGTGTAAAGTGTTACGGTCAGCTATCCGACAGTAGGGTCTGCTAACAGAAGCTGGGGATTGACACGTAGTAACAGTACACTGAGGTCGTGGTCTGGATCGTAGGTCGTAGGCTTGTAGTAGATCAGGTCTTCAAAGGCTAAGGTGATCAG